ACCTGTAGAACAAGCTGGATTTCGCAAGGGATTCAGCTGCGTGGATCACATCCAGACAGTTTCGAGGATCGTCGTGGTTTGCCGAGAGTACCGCCTACCTTTCGTCCTAACCTTCGTTGACTATGAGAAAGCGTTTGACAGGAGACTAATGCCATACTGTCAGCGCTCGACCAAGGGGGGACCCATCTTACGTGAGGACATTGGCCGACAAGAACTGCCCTACGACGGTACAACTGTTCCATCGTTCCCTCAACATACCAATCTTAAATGGGGGTTCGACAATGGGTCACCGTGTCGCCAAAGCTGTTTACCGCCGCCTTGCAGTGGGTGATGGAATTACTGGATTGAAACGAGAGAGGTATAGTTGATGGGAGATTTCTCTTAAACCTTCGTTTTGCGGACAACATTGTTCTCTTCTCGAAAAACATCACTGAAGCGTAGATGATGTTGAAGACTAAACGAAGTAAAGAGATAGGACGGCGAATCAACCGGAAGAAGACTTAGTTCGTAAAAAACGACTTTTGCGAGGATCAGGAAATGGAATTAGAAGACTCATCGCGGAGGCGTCCTCTTACGTATATCTCGGGCGTTCGATGAACATGGAGGTCGATCTGAAAGAAGAACTAAACAGGAGGTAAAGAGCAGCTTGGGCCGCCTTCCGGCCCAGGATGCCACGGATAAGCTAAGGAACCCAGAGCTCCGAGCCCACCTGTTCGATTCAATGGTTCTCCATGCGCTCACGCAAAGACGTGGTCTGATGGCTACGTCAAAGGCTCTACGTACAACCCACAGAGCGCTGGTACGAGTCTTCTAAGGTAGAACCAACGCACTCAACATCTCGTCTGACTTCGCAGTTCGGATATGAGATCAATTTCTCGTCTTCGCGATCCAGCGAAATACGTCTCTAAGGCAAAGCATCGATGAACTGGTCATATAATGAGAAGGACAGACGACAGATGGATACTAAGAACTCTGGAATGGATCTATCGCGATGCAAAACGTCCTCGGGGGACCGACCAGGTGGGCTGACGTATTCGTTGCACGGATGGAGCAGCTGAATTTTCAGCTGGTAACGAGTAATGGATCCGGACCACGCGAGCGTCGCCGCCGCGCTTCAATGCCAACATCGCGGATGAGGCTAGGGAGAGATAGAAAAGGAGGGAAACAGTGCTGTGGCCTGCAAAGTGAAGACAGGTTATCTAAGTATCTAAGTAAGTGCAAAGACTGAATCAAAATTAAACATAAGATTGTAGAGAGGCTATTGAAAATCGGTGTTAATTGCTTTGTCAATCATTGATTAGCAAATTGGTATATATTGTCGGTGGATAAATTTGGTTGAAACAGTAAGCAAGAGGTACCGGCAAATAAACTGGCCAGTTGACAGAGCATGAGAAGATGAAGCAAGCACATTGAGCAGATATTCTCAATGCTTCTCCGGAAAACTTTTCGCGAAATTTTCTAATTGAAAATCCAATAGAACATAGAAAATAACTATGAAAGCATAGGTTGTGGCCAAGCAATCCCAGCGTAATCACTTTATTGACTCATACCTTTCCGAATCGATCTGTGAATAGCATCCTGTGAATAATGTTGCCAATGAGTAGATCAAACATTTTTTCGGGATTAATAGAAACTTCTCCTGCTGTGAGCCGTTTGTCCAAGTCTTCACAGCTGAAAAGAATTAGGTTTTGAGGTAAAAAAAGGTCATAAGAACATAAAAACTCACGTTATCTCAAATTCATACATGATTCGCTCCTCAATGATGTTTTTGCCCAAACCAAAGTTACGAAGGGTATGCAAGGCAAAGCGTCGTTGTTCCAGCCAAGGTTGACCGTTTGATGCAATGATTCCTCGACCTCCTGTTGTATCGCTTGATTTTCTTTTCAAATCGCTTTTAATTAGGACAATGAATGCATCTTTGATTTCTTACAAGGGAATGCTTTTTACTCGAAGTGGTCATTCAAAATAAGATATATTCCATAATAACAAGTTGGGTTTAGGAAACTCAAATGTATCTTCCATATCTGCGAAACGGTTTTCTGAAGGAAGATGTGGGCATTTGTTTCCATGAGGCCACCTACAACACGTAGTACTTATGTTAACAACTGAGGTGCCAGCATGGCGCAGTGTAAGTGACTAGATCTGCAGGTGTGTGGTGCAGGTTCGAATCATGTCGCATCCTAACATTTTGCGTTTTTTGCAATCACCTGTTATTGCTAAAGAAAGCTTTATAAACTTGTTAATTTATTGTCCAAAGTGAAGTTAAGCCAATGATTAGTAGATTTAATTTGATATTTATCCCATGAACATATGTGATAGTCGTCTATAAAGAGTTAAAATATAATAGGTGCTGACAGTTAGCGCATCGAAGGAGATGTTCTTCGTCGCAATTGTTTGCACTGCAGCATCCTATGTGATCAGGAAGAAAGCAAAACTGAGTAGTTTTTAAAGGGAAATGCTCTCATCATGATATAAATATTCATGACTAATATACAGTCAAATTAAGTGCTTTTTCAAGTTTTATCAAGCAAATATTATTATAAAATAACGCAAAATGTTCGCTGACAACAGGATTCGAGCCTGCATCGCACAACCTGCAAACCAAGACACTTATCACTGTGCCACCTTAGCACTTAGGGTATTTGCGCAAGTACTCCTTATTGAAGGGGGCCTCATGGAAACAAGTGCCCATATCTTCTTCCAGAAAACCGTTTTGCAGATATGGAAGGCAGATTTGAATTTCCCATACCCAACTTGTTACTATTGAATATATCTTGTTTTGAATGGTCAGTTCGGGTAAAAAGCATTCCCTTGTTAGCACTCATTTTACAGAGGATTTTAACAAGCGTTCCAATAACAGAACATTTGAGCTCATCCTGACTATCCAAAGATTTAGTCACAAAGGAGGAAAAACACCACTTTCGAATTAGCTTCAGCTTTATAAAGAAGTTATAACAGGAATAAAACGAGCCGCAATAGCATCATACAAAATACATATTAGCTCTTTTATTTAGAGATACAGTAGTTGAAAAACAGCACTTTGCTTTCAACAATCGATACTACCAATGGACAATTTTTAGGTCACTAAGATATGATCCTTTTTCTTGGAACAAGAAATCCACTGCTGTGGAAGAACGAAGAAAAACATATCAGCTCTATTCATTAGAAAAACATTGAAAATCATAACTATCCTAAAGTTGATGTCACTCGTAAAAGAATGGTTTTCTATTTAATCTAAGCGAAAGGGAAGTCCAGTATATAATCTTCGTACTTCTATTAAGCTTTATCTGGAGTGATAAAGTCAGAAGTAACAAGATGCGCGCAAAGGAGAATTTGTATATGTCAACCAGATGCGATTTCGTATTAAAACGCGAATTTTATGCACTCTCTGGAACGGTTTTAAGTTACCATCTACAATAGCAAAAAAGAATTAGAATTGTTTAAATCCTCACTTTCTCTGTGGTAATTAATCTCCTAAACAACTTTAACAATAGAGCAAAGCCTAACTTTTTACGAAGTCTTGAAAAACGCTAACTTCTAGACAATTCAAATAGATACGGCAGATTCCTTCAGCAAATGCGTTTCCTTTT